TTGGCTGACGTTTGTGGCTTGACTGAATAAACCTCCACCTGTTCCTTTCTAATGTGAATTCCAATGCATGGTACATTCCCATTTTGTACACTCTGCATGGTAGGGTTATCTCAGCAGTAAAATATGTCCTTTTCACCACAGTGTAAGCAAACATCCCACAAATCTGCTACAGAAAGAGCAAGAAATGCCCCAGTGGCCACCGGTCTGATTTATTCCTGACTTTATTTACGACTTTGTGTTAGACTTCTGTAAGCCCCGATTCTCTTGGCTTTGGCAGAGCATATTGGTCTCTCCTGGGGCCGAGTGTACACCTGTCACTATCCAAGCTTTGGGAGCAGCTTGGATATCCCTTTGAGGTTTAGCAAACGTGTGCAGCTTCTCGCCTGAATGTTTTGCAATACAGTTTCAGATTTGATGTTCCTCATCCATTATCTCAGCTCATCTCTCTGCATTGCGCGTATTAGACCAGATTGTACAGTATTTCAATATTACGATATTTGTTCTCGGTTGATTTGATGATGAAGGGTTTGGTGTACATGGGTAGAAATTCATTTTTACTGATTATGTTGTAAAGTGCCAATTTTAAAGTCGCCTTTTAATGTGGTGCAGTGGGAAGAACTGACTGAATAGTGCAGGACTCTTGGAAGTCAGGCAAGTGGTGTGTGGGCAGAAGCAAAGCATTCTGTGGAGATCCATTGATTGGTGAGTTTTCTTACAGGGCTGAGTGACATAGCCTGGTGTGTGATGTTCACCGGATCCATGCTACATGGTGATTGTAATCAAGATTGCCTTGAAATGATGCATGTTTGGAGCATGCGCTGAAATGATTAGGACTGCGTGGTGCACACAGAGGATGTCGGGCCTTGTACATACCATCCTCTTAAGTGTCAATGAGCGAGTGCTGAAGGGGCGGGTGGGTGGGGGGGGGGGGGGTGGCTGGTTGTGGGCTGATAGAGGGCCTCAGTTCCTTTACAGGAAGCTGTGGTACAAATGCAGCAATCCATCACCGAAGACTGGATGTCCTTTTGTTATCCCTTAATGTCAAATAAAATGGACACATCTCACAGTTTCTGAGTGCTTATTCAGAATCCCATCTATTTTTAGTCTGACTGTGAACGATGCCTTTGCTTGTGACCAGACATCGGTAGATCTGGTAAGCTGCACAGAGGCATTACGTGATCCTTGAAAGTACACTATGCACTATGTTTTGGTAATGGGTTTTAGTTTTAAAAAAAGTGATCTTGTGATTCTGTGGTTAATTCTTTAGAACTTGTTTTCTGGAGGCAACAGAGGAGAGCAACGCACAGTGACAAAGACATCCATTTGGTGCTTTTACTAGCTACGTAACCCTGAGTTCCCAGTCATAATTGGTATGATATACTGGTGGGATTTCATTTCACAGGAGTGAGGCTAAATCTCACACAGGGCAGTGACTCAGCTTGCTTCGTTAAATTGCTGCTGCCACACTGAGTGCTAATACATGTCTTGGTGCTCTGTGTTAATTTCTGATCTTGGCTGATTCATCATGAGAATGTGCTGAGGGACACTAAAAAAAAATGCGGTCACTCAATCCACGACTGTTTGTGGGACACTACTGTGTGCAATTGACTGCTGCGTTTCGCCCACAAAATACAAAGTTCCTGTGAAGCATCTTGAGACATCTTAATGAAGTGATAAGTATTATTGAAAGTATTAAGTATTAGAATGTATTATTGTAGTATTAAATGAAAGTATTATTATTACTATTGTAGTATTACATCTTCAATAAATATAATGCAGGCGAAACTGCAAGTTTATAACGTAAAAAAAAAAAAAAAAAAAAATTGTATTTCAATCACGATGTTTACATGCTGTGGATTGGCTGGGTTGACAAATAAGTCAATTCATTACAGTGTGTAAGCTTATGACGTAAAAGATATAAATGCAAGATATTAGATTAATTACTAAGACATTCTCTTAGTAATAAATGCCTGTCAATGGTGCTTCTCCAGTGGAGGTGTGGATTGATACTCAAATCTTCTACTAATATATTAAAATTGCGCCTAATTTTAAAGGGTCACTTTGTTAAAGTTTTGTTTCTTTCTGAACGGGGCTATTCAAACGCAGCAGCAACAACTTGCATTTATATAGCGCCCCTCATGCAGGTCGTTTGTTGCTATTAAATTCTTCTTGTGCAATCGCACATAGTAAGTAAGCCCTCGTTCCAAATAAACTTATTCACAGAAACTAGGTGTTGCCCTGGCTCAGTTGGTGGCACTCTCACCCATGAGTCAGAAGGTATATTCTGTAAATTGTTGCTCTACAGGTCCTAACTGGCTATTTGTGGTATGTGTGGGCGGGCAATTTCACATTGCGTCAATGAATTTTCGCCTAAGAGTACAGTCACTACGCATCCGAGAAAATCCTGAGAAGCGCTTTGAGATATTTCAACGTTCAGCTAAAGGCAGTTGGTTTTATTGCTGTGAGGTACATTTGCTGATGCAGCAGCAGATTTCTGAGCTTTGTCTACGTGTTGTCGAGGACGAGATGTGTCCGTGTGTTTACACGATAAGATCGAACACTCAGTGAGGGTATGGGCACTCGCTTTACTGCTAGTGAAGGTGTCCAGTGCCTTGCATGCACTAATGGAACAGCAACAGTTGCTGAGATGGATTTGCTGCCCTTTCAACCACAATTGCATAGCAAAAAATCCCATTACAGCCACACAATGAAATAATCTCACCTCCACATTCAGATGTAAGTGAATCACTTGAAACTTCATCTGTGTGATTTAGAAAGTCAAACCACTCTGTGTAATTTTCCTGTAATCACTGACACCCACTCTCCACTTGAACTGGCGTGTACGTAGTAAGGCTTCAGCTTATCAACGTGCATTTATATAGCGCTCTTCTGTGTCGGTTAACCTCTCGGAGGTCTTTTAAAATGATGGGGGAAGGGTCAAGAGGCCATGCAAAGAACAGGGGAGGGGGAGGAGACCACAGGTACAGTCAAAGAGGTAGGTTTTAAAGTGGGACTTTTAAAGACTGAGGGGGTAAGACGGAAGGGAAGGAGATCTAGAGGTGACCAATCTTTGAAGTTTTAAAATTCCCCTCCCATTACTTTTTGGGGTGGAGGGTGAGAGATGATTGACACATGTTGGGTTTAAACGCTTTTGCTTTGATAACACTTTTGCTATGATAGCTTGTGTGTGTGTGTGTGTTGCCGCACCCACCCAATGACGAGGACACCAGTTTCTGTTTGCACATGGAAGGGTGATAACTTGGTGTGTGTGCGTGCGTACGTGTGTCTCTCCTGTTTCGCTCACATGTGATTTTTTTTGACACATGGCCACTGATTGGTGAAGATTCAGTGTTGGCCCAGATCCCCCTCACTGCTATAGTGAACGGTCCTTTCCTCTCTTCTAATGAGCCTCCATTATTGGTTTACTAGATGCTCTTGAGCGAGTCGCTGTCCTCAATGCCTTTGGTTGCACTTCAGTAGAGGATTATGCTGCATGTGCAATCTCTCGTCTGTGTACCAGTTCCCATCTTTCAATGAGGCGGAATTGAGAAAATGCATGGCTTTGCAAGCTTCACCATTGCTGTCACTAAATCGCCAAGATGTAGTCTTGCATCGAATAATCACAATGTTGTCGAATGCATTTTATGAATGGAATAAAGGGGAGAGGAAGTTTGCGTTGTGGTTTGGATTCCCTAGCTGGTGAATGGCAGGCAATCCGGTCTGACTGCTTGTGAGATGCAAATCACATTCCATGGCTGCTTTTCCTGTTTGCTCTCTGTGTAAGGTGGAAGTCATTTTGTTGCAAAGCTCATTCCATCAAGTCTCTCTCAGAATGATTTTATTAGTATCCTCCTGCCATTCCTACTTACTTGGTTGGTAGATAGTTGAATACTCTCATGGAATAATAACAATAATAATCCTTGCATTTGATATAGCGCCTCACAGGATATACTGTAAAGTGAATTGACTGCATATTTTGGGCAGCTAATTATGCACAAGGATGCTGCAGAACATCACTTCCTCGAAGTGTATTGAAGGTGGAATCCGTGGGGAATTTGCAGCCCAGCCACTGCTTGGATGGAAGTAACTCCTGCTTCGATTGTAAACCATCCCGAACTATGTGTAGTCCTTTCCTGGTGGAGGTTACTAAGGTTTACAGGGCAGATACGATGGTTTCTTGTTTGTCAACCTGTCTCAGCCAGTTGGTAGCACTATCACCTTCTGAGTCAGAAGATGGTGTTATTGGTTAGTCTTTGTTCTTCTCTTTTTGAATAAGAAAATAGCAGATGATAAGATTTGTAAATGCGTTTTCGAACGTGTGAAAAAGACATGCCACCATCAGCTAACTTTATCAAGCGACCCAATTGACCACACGTCAACTCAGAAAGGCAGGTTCAATTGGCGGAGAGACATTTTACACTTTCCAATACAAAACAAAGTTACATTTGTATAGCACCTTTTATATCGAGAGGATGTCCCAAGGCGCTGGATCTTTACAATGCTATGCAACATCAGAACTCTTAAATGCTTTTTTTTTAAAAAAAGTGTGACCTTTAGACTTGTTAAAACTTCAGGTTTGGAGCTCTGAAATTCAAACAATCAAATTTCCTGCCCCCCCCCCCCCCCCCCGCACACCACTCCTCCGCACAGAATTTTAGCTTATTAAAAACTTCAAATTGTTCACAACTCATTTTGGAAGTGGGGATGTTGTTTCAGTCTTCAATGTGATGCATTGGTTGTGCTGAAGGAAGACTGGGCTGATCCGTCCACAGGACCACATGACAAGCAGCTGATGCCCATTTGGAAAGGCTGCAGTGTTTGCCCTGTCTGTGGGACCCGCACTGTGCAGTAAAGCACACTCGAGACGTTTCTCTTTTCTGGTAACCACTGCTGCTTATCTGCTTCAGCGTGTCCATTTGGACGTTTAATCACAGATCTTCTGATCGCATTATCTTCCCTTTCTCTCCTCTTTCTCCCACCCCCCGCTCCCCTCCTTCCAGGATCCTGGATGAAACGGACGTTTTGTTACCAAGGCAGAGATCTGGCAGTTGAGTCATCACACCGTCACATTGGGATTGTAGAACTATAAGGAGTTCTGAGCTGGTGCCCATTTTCCCTTTGTGTTGAGGTATGGCTGTCACATTGCTTCTAATGTTATTTGTGTTGAAATATTACGACTTTGAACTTGTGTTAAATCCCAGCTTTGTTTCGACTCAGTAAGGCAGCTACCTACGTCTCTTAGGAGATTTACTGTTTTTTGACCTCTTTATAAAGGGTCAGCATGTTTCAAATGGCTCCGTCTCTCAGCTGTGAGAAACGAGAAACTAAGTTTTTTTTAAATTTACATATTCGGGTAACTGCCTTGAGCTCCATGTTTGCCGCTTTTTAAATGGGATATAAGGAGTAACTTCAATTGGTGTTCATTTGTTTGAAATATCTATTTCCTTTGGTGTAAAGGAATAACAATTGAAATTGGGAAGAAATCGGTCTTTTTGAAATAAATATATGTATCTTAAATTGTGGGTAGATGTGAGATGAGTTTGTAGGGTTCATATACAGTTGCTGCACTTTACGAAAACAGCTTTGAGATGTTTTAAATTGATACGGCACCGAATCGAGTGCTATTATTGTATAATAATTCCTTCAAAATAAATAAAAAAATAATTTGGTCACTCAATCCATGACTGTTTGTGGGACACTGCTGTGTGCAATTGGCTGCCGCGTATCTCCCACAAAATATACAGTCAATTCACTTCACAGTGGGGTTGTGATTTTGCCTAAAATTGCCTAAAATTGTTTTCGAAAATCATCGTTGCACATTGATGAGATTATGAACCTAAATTAAAAATCGTTGAGGTATTTGGGGTCATTGGTTGTAAAATGTCTGTTAGATGTATGATAACTTACTGCGAATAAACATTCTGTTTATCCACTTAAGTCTGCACAAAGTAGGCTACGTGACTGATTAGATTTAAAAAAAAACTACCGATTTCATCTTGCGGCTCGCACTATATCTACACTTGCAGTGTATCATTTCACTGTAGAGTCAACAGCACAAAAAATAAAACAATTACTTTTTTTAAAAAATTCAAGTTTGCATTTGTGTAGCGCCCTTCACATAGGCTATTGACAATACTCTTTCCCTACACATCTCATGAATGAAACTTGATCTTATTTAATAAAAATAGCTAAAGCTTTTACCCCCCCCACACCAACTCCCACAGTCTTGTGTGTAGGAAACTCCCTGTGTAGGGCTGAGTCATACAAATCAAACCAAAGTGATGTTGTTTTGATTCTCGATCTGTGCTGAGTTAGTTGATTTGAACCTGGACAGCAAAGAAGGATGACATTTGTAAAGCGCCTTTTCACGCTGGGAGGTTATCCCAAGGCGTTGGACAGTCAGGGATTTGGACCTGAGCTGGGGGTTCGATCAGGAGGGGTGCAGGGCAGGATGGGTAGGGGTAGAAAGGTGACCGAAGGTGCGGTTGAAGAGGAGGGTCTTGAGATTGACATTAAAAGAGGGAAGGGAGCGAGGTGAAGGGACTGTGGGATGAAGTTCTAAAGGGTGGGTTCAGGTGTAGGCCAGGGATTGGGTACTACAATTAGTTGTATGATAGAGAGGGTTGGGGGTAATAATAGCCAAGGGGCTTCTACCAGCAAATGATCATTGTTTTGGCTTTAGATGATGATTTCTTCGGGCAAAATAATCATTAAGTTGCGTTTTCAGGAGAAATCGAATAGAGTAACCTGTGCATGTGAATGTTTTTTTTAACGCCGTCGCTCTCGATGTCAACCCGAAATGTTGACTCACCTTCCTTTCTCTATAGATGCTGCCTGACCTGCTGAGTGTTCCTCAGATTTTCCAGCATCTGCAGTATTTTGCATTTTGATCTCAATGTGTGTTTGATTGTATCTCTTTGCGATAGGTCAACTTTATTATCGGAGGGGACTGAAAAATGGCTTGGTGTGTTCTATGCAGGTGCGTGCGTGCCCATGCACATACAGTCATTAACCAGCCAAGTAAGCCGTTCATTCAGGCACGTGCAACTCACAAGAGCACGTGCTCAATAAGTGAACATTGAATCCATTCCGCCTGGCTAAATTGGCAAGAGTTCCTGAATTTTTCTTCCTTGAGTGTTTGGTGGCTGCAGTACACTCAAGAAGTAGGTCAGGATGGCAGCTGTATGTGTGTGCATTTGTGTGCGTGCGTGCAGGAGTTCATTGCACTGCAGGTATAGATTGAGGGCAGTGTAGTCCAGGTATGGGTGGAGAGCATGTAATTTGATTTAACACAATACAGTAACCACTGAAAGTAGCTGGGTGTGTCTGAGTTTACAGTGTTAATCTTTTTTCCTCCATGCGAATGCTTGCAAACTAATTTACTGCCTTCAGAATGTGAGCGATGTTTCTCTGCTTCACAAAATGGATTAATGATTATCCAAAAATCGCCAAAAGAGGACAATGTGGCTCTCACTCGGCCTCCTCCCTTGTGGAAAGAGCAAACGCCCTGAAAATGAGAGATTGCTGCGCAAACTGCGCAAATGCGCAGTTGCTATACTTTTATTGCAGTGGTAGCTCTGTCGCCTCTCACTTAGGGGAGGCTGTTGCATTGTCGGAGATGCCGTCCTTTAGATGAGACATTAAACCTGTCCAGGTGGATGTTGAAGATCCCACGGCACTATTCTAAAAGAGAAGGGAGTCTCCACCTTTCTCTCTCTCCTGGTGTCCTGGCAACAAATCCCCCAAATAAAGTTGGTCATTCACTCTATGGCTCTCTGTGGGACATTGGTGCTCAAACTGGCTGCTGTATTTCGCCCACAAAATAAACACTTTACAGTATATCCTGTGAAGCATTTTGAGATGTCTTGACAATATGGTAAGGCACTATATCAAATGCAAGGATCATTCTCATTTATTATAAATTCTTTGAAGGGTTTCGAGACCTGCTCATGGCGTGAAAAGCGCTAGATCAGATGTGAAGATTATTTATTATCCAAAGAGGAAATTCAGCATGGAAAGTCCTGCAACCAGATGGTTTAGATATTGAAATAATGAATAATGCTTTCTTAAGTACGCGCTAAGAGAAGTGCCCTTCATGGTTGAATTTCAGAGGTGTGGTTTAAGTTGTTCTTTCACCACTGAGTGTGATGTTTCATTTGAGCCCAGAGTGATGTGACGATGGCTCAGTGTCTCTTCTGGTTAGAAAGGCTCCTAGAATTCAATTTGAATTTTGAGATTCTTACCTCCATTCCCACTTGGTACAGAACTTACTTACGTGGCATCTAGAACTGAGGTTTGCCGCTTGACTAAATTATCCAATTCACACTCTTAGAAGCCATAAGGATTGCCCATGTGTACATGGGGACATATGGAGAAGTGTGCATATGGAGAGTTGTATCTGGGGCAAAGGCATTGCTGGTGAACTCTATTCTGTCTGTATGTGCTGTATCTGATCTGAAAGTTCTTAATGCTGACAGTAGCTTAGAATATAGTTCAGCAGCTTGTTGTGGTAAGCTGTACACATGTCAAGATGTGTACCCTGGCTTTGCAGTGATCTCATTCCCAGGGTATTTCCAGACCTTGGGTTTCCTTCAGTACCTTTTCTAACGCTGAGAAATTTAACTGTAGCATTCAGACTGTGTGTGTATGTGTGTGTGTGTGTGTGTTTAAGGTATGCCACTAGCTTCATCCTCCAGCTATGCACATAAATGCCACACCTTCATTTCAGGAAGTTCCTGGCAAAAGGCAAACATTGACACGTAAGCTAAAATGCTTGCGTGCTTTACAGGTGGAGCTTGTTAAAGTCCTACAGCAGTTTGAAACACACTAACATTAGTTTGACCCAATCTTGCTCTGCAGACCTGAAAGGTAAGAGCGATTTAAAATATTTTGGACGGGGAGGGGTAGGATTAAGAAGGATTGTATAATACCTTCTAGAAGTACTTGGATTCTGCTCTTTATAGTTCTAAACGATTTGACATTCAATGGTTCTCAGTTTCTCTGGTGAATATTGTGTTTCAGAGATCATAGGGCGACTTTATCTTTTTAAAACCCACAAGATGAACATTTTATTTAGTGTACAAGTACATTTTGTGCTCAGAATGATTTTTGACATCTCTCTGGCTTGCAGCACGGTTGTGGCTTGACCGCAGACTGGATGGGTGGATGGACGTGCATGGCAACAGAGCTTAAGGTTTACATGTGGGAAATGTACCCAAATGTCTTCCTACGCGATGCCTTTAAATTATAATTTGTAACTCCTTGTTTGCTCAGGTGGTGACATTGACTAAGGTAACTGCTGCCGAAAGTTTTTTTTTCGTCAAAACCTCACTCTTAGGTATTTTAAAGTTTTTTATTTTCTGCTGCGTGCAATTGGTTGCTGTGTTTTGCCCACAAAATATATAATCAATTCACTTTACAGTATATTCCTCGAAGACGCGGTCAGGCGCTATATCAAATGCAACTATTATTAGTATTAAAACTGATTTAAATCAGATAAATTTGAAACCGGCTTCATATAATGGGTTGGTTTCTGGAGAATGGAATGTGGTGACAACCTTCAGAGATCCTGTTTGGACTAATGTTGTGGGGAGGTTTGAAATGTTGTCTGAATTTGTGGCTTCAGCAGTTTTGGCTTTTTTTTTTAAACATTGAGTTTTTATGATGTTTAGAGAACTATATCCCCAGTTGCAGATTGGTCCTGAAACCAGAAAAGTTCCCTGCGTTTGATTTGCTTGCAAGCAATGCTGGAGAATTGTGGGTGCTATCTCGCGCACGTGTGCATTATTCATGTGATCATGTGTTGATCATTGGGGTAATATTGCAACTGAGATCCGTTTTACCCTTGTCCGACAAACACATACCTGCAGTCAGGCTCAGTGAAGCATAGCTACATAATACAGTCGCTATACTATACATTAAATCCTGCGAAGCGTTTTGAAACAGCTCGATGATGTGATTGATGAGGCTTGATATCAAATGGAAAGATTATTATTTTACATGCCAATCCGGTCTGGTGTTAAATATCACTGTCATTTGAATGTTCCACCTGCTTGCAAAGTTTGTGGAACGTGCTTGCTTAACGCTTTGTAATGGAAGCTTGTCCAGTTTTTAAGCCCAATCGGAAGGTACGAGTTGCTGAGAGAAACATTTCCACTCTTTGCAAATCAAATTGAACACAGGCCCAGACCTGCACCATCCTCCAAATAGCATTCAGCAGAGAGAGAGAGAGAGGACCATTAGCTGATCCTACTTCATCCTGTCTGTCAACAATAAACATGCACCTTTGGGCTCAGAAAGTGGTCCCAGTATTAACGCTAAACAACTGTGAAAGGGTGCAAGCTCATGTTAAGGTGATGGTGTGAGGCACTCGTAGAACAGCTGTGTTCATTTGCTGGAATGCAAAGCATTTCTGCCTCTGCAGGTTTGACTAGTTTTTTTAAAAAAATATTTCTTTACTTAAGGCAGAAAGTTTTCTTTCAGAAAAGAATTCCTCCAGTCCATTTGCAGCGTAAATTCCAGGCGATGAAGTGAGCTCCATAAGCACTTATGCTGGTTTTTACTATGTTTGAAAAGAGAAATTTCTTCCAGTGTCCTGATTTTAAAAAAAAAAACAATTCTCCTCCACTTCATGGCTGGTTGTGGGATGTTGCTGTCCACGAATCGGCTGCCGTGTTCACCTATCAATGTATAGTCACCTTACATTACAGTAAATCCTGTGAGCCGCTTTGATACATCTCAGTGACATATGACACGATGTCAAATGCAAGTGTTATCATAAAGATTGTACATCCAACATGCAGCACTCGAGTAGCAGCCTAGATTATGAACTCAAATCCTGGCGAGCTTCAACCCACAGCCTTTTGACCCGAGGCGAGTGCTACCAACTGAGTCGGGCTGTGATTTTTTTTTTTGCTGTGACATTTTCCTCAACAAATAACGCAAGTGAAGTAGAGTTGCAGCCTTTGTGACATTTTCCTCAACAAATAACGCAAGTGAAGTAGAGTTGCAGCCTTTGTGACATTTTCCTCAACAAATAACGCAAGTGAAGTAGAGTTGCAGCCTTTGTTAAATGTTTGAACAGGGAAGATGTCCTAAAAATAAAGTGGATTACAAAATCACTCCAAAGATCTGTCCGCTGTTAGATTTTAAGGTGTTTCAGCATTTGCCTCTGAGATATTTACACACTGCAAATTTGTTTGCAATTGGCTAATGCCACAGTAGATTGCACGGTAGGTTGCACGGAGTCTGGTCTCCGTATTGGTCAGAAAATGGTTACTGTGATCTGTCTTGCCATTCACCTTTAGTCCCTGAACACAATCGCTGTGGCTTTGCTACTTCAACACTCCTCATTCTCACGTGGCTCATACACCTGTTCCAGCCAAACTCAAAGCAATTCTCTTGGGCACACTCCAGCCCTCGGGCCTCTGCCGTGACTTCATCATCTTTAAACTTCTGTCTTCTCCATTGTCTTCCTAATGAGGTATATGTTTTCCCGCATACATGGATTTAAAGTACTTCTTTCTGTTGTATCGCTCTCTCTATTTGGGTTACGAATGTGTGTGTTTCTGAATTCCATCCAAGATTACCTTTATGTAGTGTACTGCGCGTTAACACTCCTTTCCAAATGTTTAGTGAGCCATTAGTGCCTTGCTGAAAGGAACTGTATCCCAATTATTATTGAATTGGGATTTTTTTAATGGTTGCTTTACGTGAAATGCCTTGCTTGCATCTGGTTGAAAATAACCCATGGGTCCACATAGGTGATGTACAGATTTCTGACTTGTACAGAGAGACCGCCTTCCATCACCTCCGGAACATCGCCAGACTACGGCATTACCTCACCCCTCACGCTGCTGAAACCCTGGTCCACGCCTTTGTCACCTCAAGGCTGGACTACGGGAACTCTCTCCTCGCCGGCCTTCCCGCCACCTCCCTCCACACTGCAGGTCATTCAGAACTCTGCAGCTCGTGTACTGTCCCGCACCAGGCTTCGGGACCACATCACTCCCACCCTCGCCCTCGCTCGCCTCCACTGGCTCCCCATCCCCCAGAGGATTAATTTCAAGATCCTCATTCTCACCTACAAGGCCATTCACGGCCTTGCTCCCTTCTACCTCTCCGACCTACTATCCCCCTACCTACCTGCCCGTACCCTCCGTTCCTCCGGCTCCGGTCTGCTCCACGTCCCCCGCCCCAACCGCCCTACTATCGGTGGTCGGGCCTTCAGCCTCTCAGCCCCGAGGCTCTGGAACTCTATCCCCCAGTGCCTTCGCCGCTTCCTCCCTCTCCTCCTTCAAGGCCGGTCTCAAAACCTTTCTCTTTGACCGAGCCTTCAGCTCCCCTCTCGACTCTCTTCCCCCTCCTCGCTCCCTTCCTTCCCTCCCCTCACCCTGACCATTTCCCCCCTCCTCGCTCCCTCCCTTCCCTCCCCTCACCCTGACCATTTCCCCCCTGCTCGGGTCATGACCCAACTGGGCAGCGCCTTGGGACGTCCTCCTGACGTGAAAGGCGCTTTATAAATGGAATCTTGTTGTTGTTGTTGTTTTTCGTGAGAGGCATCTCCATTCCTCATGGATGCACTGACTCTTACCATGGGTTTGGGATTTGTGAAGAGAAAAAATTCTCACCCAGAGAATGAGCCATATCACGCCGACATGAAGGAGTTTTTTTTGGTTTGGTGGAATTTGTTTAAATAATAACACAACAAATTGCATTTATGTAGCATCTTTCACATTGGCAGGACGTCCCAAGGCCCTGGAAAGTCAAGGATTAACTTATATACATTGAATGTGATGAAATAACTTTTTTTTTATATAGGGTTGCTTTTAAATTACAGATTACCTAATCAATGATGTCTTTATCTTGTGTATGGTACTATTTGGTCTGCCTTCTTTGATTAAACTTTATGCATGTCAAAAGTTGATAGGTTTCCAACCATGCCATGCTCATTTGGTTAGATCAGTGAAGAAGGGGAAGGGTAAGTTTCTAATTACATTATTAGCCTGAAGGAGAAACCATGGAAAACTTTTTAGACAGTAGATAAAGATGAAAGGATGATTATTTTTTTGCAATGAGCTTTCTCTCAAAGCCTTGTTCAGTCTAACTAATGCAATTAGACTGGAACTTTTGCATTTAGTTGGCCTTTAAATTGAAATGGATTACTGAATGTTGAAAACCATTTAGCATCAACATCCATTCAAAGCTCCATCTTTTCTCCTTTGAATACTTTTATTAATAATAATTCTTGCATTTGATATAGTGCCTTATGTCTTCGAGACATCTCAAAGCGCTTCACAAGATATAATATAACGTAAAGTAAATCGACTGCAAAATCAAACTTAAATGGTGTTGTCCTTGAATCCTTTCTGAAAATGAAGACACAACAACTTGCATTCATATGATGCCATTTTATGTAGGATAATGTCTTGCAGTGCTTCACAATGACAAGATTAGATGCTGAGCGATATTCCGATGCCCCACCATTGATGGGTGAATTTTGGAACTCCACCTTGGAGTCCTTCTGCCTCGGTCACACTTTGGTCATCTTTTAGCTCATCTTAAATCAATATGTTTTGCAAACATTATATTAACTGGGTGTTTTGCCACTGAAACAAAAGACTAAAGTTGTACTCTTGAGGTAAATTCAAGATACCTTTAAAGTTAAAGCACAGCTTGGCATATGATTAGTGCTGCCTTACCTTTATTAACGGATAACACTCTTTCACATATAGAATCTCGCAGAGCTGCTCGTTTCTTGTCCAAATGGGTCAGAACCTTTTTGAGCCCCTCACTGTGAGTGACTGCCTTTTATTCAGCAGTTTCATTTTAAAGCGTTTTGGATTGTAGCTATTAAGCTCCTGACACAGTACTTGTAAGTCCCTGGCTTGATGATCTGGAGGAATGCTGAACTCTCTCTGGCTTCTCACAGGGCAGTCATATGATGCGAATAATGAGCTGCAGTCATGTTTTGCCCTCTTTCCAAAAAAGGATGTGGCTTTCCATATTTGGTTTTCAACAAAAAAAATCATTTGATCAATTTTTTTATCAGTGAACTTAAAGTTCCAATTGATTTGCTTTGAATTTTCTTGTGCATATTCTTCTGTAGTGCCCATCTATAGTGCATTGCTTTGTTGAGTTATTGTGTGTGTGTGTGTGTGATATATATATATATATATATTTACACACACACACACACACACAGAAGTTCACTCCCATTGACAGTGTGTTGAGAAATGACTTTGATGGGTGGGTAGTGTCAGATTTTTGGCAGAATTTAAATCCAAGTCTCGTGCAAAATAAACTTCTTGTGGAGCGTTCTGATTCTCAAACAAGACTTGGAGCAAATCACTTTTCTGACCAGCAGCCAAAGTAGAAGATACAGTACTATTCCAGCTTGTTCTGTCAATATCTGCTGCTAATATTCTGCTGGCTTCTACCACAGTCCAGTAACATTTGTCCTGCTTAAGTGTTTGGTTGACGTGAATTTAACTGTGTAAATTTAGTGACCTCAATAGTCAATAGAGTGGTACAACATGGGACAGGTTTGTTCCTACTTAATACAGCATGCGGTGTCTGGAAGGGCTGGAAGTCTAGGGGCCTACAATGCTGTACAAAGCTTGTTGAAATGTCGCTGTCTCTTTGTTGCAGGTCAGGATTCGGTTTTCACTATGTCTGATGGGGACTACGATTACCTCATCAAATTCCTAGCGCTCGGCGATTCAGGAGTCGGGAAAACCAGCTTTCTCTACCAATACACAGATTCCAAATTCAACTCCAAGTTCATCACGACAGTCGGCATAGATTTCAGAGAAAAGCGAGTGGTAAGTTCAGCATGAGTGGATTTGTTTAATAATAATAATAATTATTGTTAATAACTTGGTCACTCAATCCATAACTGTTTATGGGACACCTCTGTGCGCAATCCGCAGCCACGTTTCGCCCACTTTACAGTATATTCTCGAAGCACTTTGAAACGTCTCCACAATGTGATAAGGCACTGTGTCTAATGCAAGGATTATTATTGTTGTTGTTACTCTTTACTCAACTCTCATCAATAGCCCAGTACATTACTTGATATTAGTGGCCCTTTGCTCAAGGATTCAAACCTTTCTGTTTATTTTCCTACTTGCGTCCTGTGTAGCGTTCATATCTGCAGGTGTCATTGAGTGTTTGTTATTGGGATTAATAATATAATAATAACCCTTGATATAGCGCTTTTTACGTCTTCTCGACATCTCAAAGCGCTTCACGGAATAGACTGTAAAGTGAATTGACCGTATATTTGTGGGCGAAACGCAGCATCAAGGGTGATGTCTGATTTTTATTTCTTCTCTGTGCTCTGATCCAGAAGTCAACAAACAAGCTCCTTGCTTCAACATTTGGTTTACGTGAATGCCGGTTCACCATTATTTGTACGACTCTCTTTTCAATCTGTTGGGTAATCCGCTAGCAGAATCCTTGTCCTTCACTTATTACACGACAACTTGTTCTTCATCCGATACCAGACCTTTGTGTTTCCCTTGAAATGTCGTCCACAAGTTAAGAACTCTGCCCTCTGGAGCTCCCTCTTGAAATCCCCCTCTGGTGTGCTCTCTATTCCTTTCTTGCTGCTTTCAAAAAAAACTTTTTTTTAAAAAAAGAAAAAAAAAATCGTGACTAAATTTTGGACCTACCTCTATTCTTCTCCCAGCTCAGGCTCCCACTCCATCTTCGCAAAGTGCTTTGGGACACTCTCACTGTGTGTGAGTGCAGCGAAACCTTGGGCAAGTTTCCTTACTCCACACGCCTAATAATAATCCCTCCAAAACAATAATAAAATGGTCATTTTCAATCCACGACTGTTTGTGGGTCACTGCTGTGTGCAATTGGCTGCCGCGTTCGCCCACAAATATACAGTCAATTCACCTTACAGTATATTCTGTGAAGCGCTTTGGGATGTCTAGAAGATGTGAAAAGCGCTATATCAAATGTAAGGATTATTATTATTAAATGGTACAAGTCTCCGATAGTTGCATTGGCCTTTATGATGAGGCGGTTTGCTCGCTAAATAGGGAAGATGCATTTTCCCTCCCCTTTCTTTTGAGGTTCTTTCAAGTTATGAATCTCTGCTGAGAGGATAATTATTGGGGGGGGCTTTTCTTGATCTGCTGATTGTGCTGATTTTTGGGCAGGTTGCCTCGAAAGCACCAGGCAACAGCTCCGAGTGCCTCTCCTCGCAACACCTTGTCTAGTGAGCCTCAGATCACTACACCGCAGTCTCTCTAAAGCTCCTGATAAACTATCTCCTTTTGGTAGCTATTTCTGTGTTGGTCATGCTTTGCTGCAACGTGCTGTACAAGCTCCATCTCTACTTTTCTGGAGGAAGGTCTGCAAATTCAATTACTCAAAAAAAAAAAAGCCATTGCTCAATAACTCTGGGTGATGTGCACTTAATAAAGAACTTTGTTTTGAACTCGTGTAGTGAGCTGGAAATTTAGTTAAGGATTCCAGCAAATCTAATCTGTATGTCAGTGCACTCGACAGCAACTAAGCTGTTCTGTGGCATTCGTGATGGGCTGCCAGTTGCACTTTGCATTTAGGATGAAAAATCTACCGTTTTCTATTACAAAAGTTGGATATTTTATTATTTTCTAAGTCTGTCGCTTTTTTTAAAAAAACATTTCAATCTGGTTTAACAATAATAATCTTGTGTTTGATATAGCGCCTTATCACGCCCTCGAGACGTCTCAAAGCGCTTCACAGAATATACTGTAAAGTGAATTGATTGTATAATTTTTATGGTAAAACACGGCAGCCATTTGTGCACAGCAGTGTCCCACAAAAGCAGTCGTAGATTGAGTGACTACATTTTTTTAAGCTTCCTTCCTTCAGTAACTGTAGAGCTGTGTTCACCATAAAATACAGTTACTACACTTTTTCTAGCAGATCGTGCGAAGCCCTCTTAGATCTTCTCCTGACATGAAAAGCACTAAAACCAACCATGAGGATTATTATTATTATAGATTACCTATATATGAGAATGGTCATAAAGTAAAACATTTAGTTTTTGTTTTAAATCTATTTTGAGCTTTGGTACACTTAAGAAGATTAAAAATGAAATGTTTTGCAAAAGTAGTGATCGCAAAGGGGCGAGTTTGAAATGCAATGATTTATTTATTTCCCCACCCTATCACTGGGGGCGTGGGTGGGGGAGTTGAACCTGTGTATTGTCCCACAGAACTGCTCTGAAAGTCTCCTTCCATAAGCTGCTACAGCTGCAAGTTTTCATCGCTTCAATAATATGGATTTTTTATCGGTTCAGTAGCACCATATAAATAGACGATATGTCAGCAAGCCAAGTGTTAGCTTACAGCAAATTCCTTTCACAAATGTAAAAGATCTTAAACTTGTGGAGGCTGATAGGTTTCTTCACAGATGTTTTGCCCCCCCACATGCGGTGAAAAGTGCTCAGAGCCTCTGGTTCCTGCTGAGGTAGATGACTGTGGATCAGTGCATCGATGTAAGATCTTCAACACAACTTCAAATGTTTCTGACAAACTGTGACCTAGAAGAACTCATGTGAGGAATGATGTGTGTGGAAGTCTGTTCCTTTGGCTATTGAAAATACCAGCCTTTGGCCGTTGGATTTGCTTTTGTTTTTCTTAGCGTGGTGTCTGAATCAATAACTCTTTCCTCTGAGTGAGCTTATCTAAATTGTCTTTTAAATGTTCACTTGACCGGGCTACAGTAGTAGCCCCTAGGAATTTTGTTCCATATTTTGATAACCCCATCATGTCTTCAGAAAGCTTGTGCTTGTCTCAATAGCTCGAATACTTAGGTTGACTCCATTTGCACTGAATGCTGCTTATGTGTTCAGCGTAAATCAATGGAAGTTCTGCAGCAAGCTTGTGCCTTCTGCAACACCAGCATAGCATCTGACCTCTTAAAGTTCTGCCTCATTAAACCTCCTGCGAGAAGTTTACAGTGATTGCAGTCTGGTTTATTTGTGAAGCCCATTTTATAACCTTGCTTGGTTTTCAGGTGACAGCGAAGTGGGGCTGCAGTAGGGAAATCGCTCTCTGGGGAAGGTGACCTGGTTACTGTTTTCAAATAGATTTATTTTCAAAAGTGTTAATGTAACCACACCGAGTGCACCCTTGAGTGTGCACAATGATGCCCCAGGGATGATGAACTGCTGGTTCCTTTGTTTAAGGTTTAGATTACTTTAACAACTGTATCTGTTAATAGGTGAGGCCGTGCTAGGCTCCCACTGACTGCAGTAGAAAGCACCCGTTTTACATTGCGGCAGCCTTATTGATTTTAAATCTCTGCATGTTTGCAGTTGTTTTAGTGACTCTGTGCGAATATTTCTTTGCTGGTATCTTTTTCCCAGGGACGTGGGGCTAAGATAGGTCAACAAGAACCACTTTTCTATGCACAAAGGCAAACAAGTGTTCAGATGCTCAATCTACCTGTGGCAATCTATCTCTCCCTATCACCAGTGGCATTTAGTACATTGGAGGCTGAGTGGGAACCAGTGTTTTGAAACCCAAGTCAACAGAGCTCACTTTGCCTTGGCTGCACCCTGTCTGTCTCGATGTCAAATGGATTGCTGTTTATATTGTCTACTTGCTGACACTTTTGGTGTGGGTAAATGCTTCGAGATGTTTCCATTAAATGGAAAATATTGTGTAAGTGCAAATTGTCTGTGACAGGCATTCAGTGCAAAATGGGTGATCCGATCAGTGGGATGGGAGAGAGCATCAGTATTCTTTGCCCACCTGATTTAGTTTGCCTCTGTAAACCAGTGGTAGATTTCTGAGCCAGGTGGGTCCTCAGTACTCCAGGGCACTGTTGAAAGTATAGCCAGGACTTGGAAAGGCAGACCAGTCACTGGGATTAGGGACTTGTGTTAACCTTGAAAACCGAAGCACTAACGGGTAGAGTGGCCCTAGCTGGACAAGCAGCGGGAAAGCTCGTCAAGAAGTGGTCTCCATTTTCTCACTCTGGGGTCCCCAAGCCTTGACTCTTATCAACCTGCGCCTAACACTTTCTGGAATTAGGTATCAGCAGGAGGTGTTCCTCCAGGGAGAGAGTTTCCATATTGAAAGGGTATAGAGAGGGTATATTGAAGTGTTACTTGGGGGAGCTATTGTGTTCAATAACATGCCTTAGTGGCATCTTCCAATGGAAAATCAATGTTTTGACCCAGTGTAAATTTGTATTGAGTTTCAGATCAAATACCATTTCAAATTACAAATGTGATGAAGCTAGTTGAGGAGGAAACTTGATTTGTTTTAAAGACCTCGTCCACTTCAGTGAAGGAATATATAATGCGAGGTCAAGACCTCACTCTGCTACAGCAATTCTACCTCAACACTGGGTGCCTTGGAAATGTAATTCATTAAAACAATGATGGATATTGCTATTCATTGTATTGGCTTCATTGAGTAAGACTCCAGACTACTGGGATGAATAATGGACCCAGGAGTGTAGTTGCCAGTGAGATAAGCATTTGAGTGACTGACAGACTTTAATGTAAGCAATTAAAGAGTGTGGGCATTCCATAAAGGAGCCTTTAAATGTATATCAATTCTCAGAGATTGAGAACGAAAAGGATTTTTCTTTGTCTTTTAATCATTCCAGATAATGTGAAGCTGATGCAACAAAGCTTTTCAAATACAAGTTAGTCCATCTTCTATAAGTTCCACGTTCTCTCTTTTTCTGACCAGATGGGTGTGTTCTTCTTCCTCCCCATTGAATGATTGTGGGTTGCTACAAAGCTCCCTCTGGTGGACCTGTTGATCTGACCTGTTATTTTGGTTCCTCTTCAGCTGATTTCCTTTTGTAGCAGAGTGGTTTACTGTTTCAAAGGGGGGGAAAAAATGGTTTTAGGGAATGCAGTAGATTGCGTAAGTTTCCTTCTGAAGGGATTGTGTAAGAAGTCGGGGTGAATAGGGTCTCTTTGTATGTAACTCAGTGTTGCAAACATCTGGATTCGTCCATACATTTATGAATAAAGAGTGTAGATTTGTAAATTGTTAATCAGAGACGAGCGATATCCAAATTGTTAATTTGACAAAAGTGCTTTTCCTCTGCTCGGGAACCACAGCAAGATGTCCTGTGCTAGGTCACAAGACTATTCTCTGAGAATCGTCCGGTACCTCCCCTTGCAGACCAGTTCCCGAGATTGGATGCAAGAGGCTGTTTGTTGTGTCTGTGTGAAAGTTGCCACGAAGATGCTGACACTCAATACAAATTGTCCAGCATCATATGAAAATATCTTCTGCCCCCATTGCAGGCCGGCTGCTTTAAACTGATCTGTTATGCTCACGCTGAATGATTTATAAGGACCTGGAAGAGGAACATGCAGTTAATCTAGAGTCTGAGCTAAATTCTTTACTGCAGTTTATGGGAAGGGTTAAGGTGCAAGTTTGCTACAGCAAGAACTGGGAAATGATTGTCTATGACAACTGGTTCAGTGGAGCATAAAGCATAGGGTGAATACAAATTAGTCTTAAGTGTGTGTTTTCCCCTCCCTTCCTCCCCTCCTTAACGCTTTACACTTTGAACACACATACCGAACCATGACTACCAATAGTTTATTTTAGAATGCACCAGGTTTAGCTTCAAAATCTGTGAAAAAAGCTTAATGAAATATTCTGTTTCTTCAGCATTTTTCCCTTCAAAGATCATAGTTAAATACTCACAAGGTCAGTGAAGTTTGTCTTGTTGATCCACAAATCCTTTCGGTCTCACAGTGCTAGATTTCAAAGTTAAAAGCTGACTTTTTTTGTTGTTTGAAAAAAAGCCCTTTATACAATATATAGAAAAACAGAACTGAAATGGGCCATTTAGCACAATTACCTTGTGCAACGTTTAGATTCCACTTGACACACCCCACTAACCGCCAGCCTATCCTATTGCCCTCTCTCATGTTTGGGGATTAGAAACTTTAAGGGTCTTTGTACATCGCTAAGAAATATTTAACTTGTCCTTAAAACTTGCATTACTTAACTTGCACTACTGCATGTTGTGTATTCCGATTAGTGGCCATTACCAACTGGACTCCTTTCAAGTGGGTTCCTGTGCTTGCTAATTGAACACCTACTAGTAAAACGTGCTAAGGGTTCAAACAATTAACTAATGAGCTATTGGCCTCATAACCTGTTCTTCGACTGTTCTGTGTGTCTCTCCCTTGTTTAGAGTTTGCCCCCCCCCCCCACCCATCGTTCTGAGGCACTCTGAGAAATTATCGGACATGAAGAGTGCCATATTGTGCAAGTTTTTGTTGACATTGAATGTGTAGATGACTCTGGGGAAACATTGACACTGATTACGTTTAGAACAGAGTACATCAGGAGTGAAGTTGTTTGCCAGTGCATAAATTACACTCCACCTGTTCCCCTGATGGTTCGTTCGCTCATTCGAGGCTGTTGAGCAAATGAGAACAGTTCAGTTACCTTTGTGTAGTGTACATTGACCAGTGTTTTGACAACATGGTGCAGCAATTTCTCTGATGTATTCTTGCGATGGTCACTCACCCGTGTGTTACGTAAAATAATGGTTAGAGAATAGGACTCTTCGTCAGAGGCAGACAGGATCTTGGTTTTACATCTCGACCGAAGGTTGGCACCTCTGACGATTGCAGCGCATTGCAACACTATTGGAGTAATCAATGCAGTGATCCCCAGCTAGAATGTGTATGTGTTGTGGTTTCGGGAGGAGGAAATATGTGTGGTGTTGAGGTAGGGGGGGCGGGGGGATTGGAACAGAACAGGATGACACGAATCCACTCAGCTTTATGCCCTCCACAGTCGACGTGCTTGTTGATATTTTGAACGAACAGTATGTGTAGATGACTCTGGGGAAATTAGATCAGAAGAACCCACGGCCCTGACGATGAGAGAGAGCCACATTAACACAGATGGGTGAAGTGAAGACCTCTAAAGTACCCTAGATTAATGACTGTATTTTCTGATGTTAATTTAGCTACCTCCGGCTGTCAGGCTTATTACCTTGTGCCAGATGATATTCCCCTGATGCCGTCAGCAGTCTCCATTTATCAGAAACAACAACCCAAAAAACATTTTGAAAAAATAAAAGAACCTTGGGGATTCATCACTCGCACACCTTTGCCTGGTACCTCTGCCGGCTGCTAAGACTACAAATATTAATGCCTTTGGCATTTTAGATTATTTATATTTATGAATTGACAGGTCGCTGCCTTGAGTGTTGGAATGATTACAGTCGCATTACTGTCTTTGTACTCCCTATTTTAAGGGTTAAGTCATAGATGACAATGTTTTGAAAGTCTATTTCACCACTAGGGCTTTAAGACTTTGGAGTGGGGAGGGAGGGAGAAATGACAGTGGTACTGTGTCCGAAACTTTGCAGTTAGCAGACGATTCGTTTATTATTATTATATTTAGGTACTTGCCACTGTAACCTCCACGGGGAGTTTGCATTCTTCAACAACAACAGCTTGCATTCTAAGAGTACTTTGAACTTGAAAGTCCTGTGTACTTCCAATTGATCTTCTGCTATCTCTGTTAATTCAGAGGATTCTGAAGGAGTGTAATTAAAGCACTCAGCTACTCTTTTGTGTGTTAACAAGTATCTGTCACCTTTTCGAGGAGCTAATTATTTAGGTGATTTACTTTGAGTCGTTTTTGCTAACCTGCACCTGCTTTATTCTCTATAATAATTTTTCTTACTAACTTATTCCCATAGTTCTGCTTTATTAAAGTCCATCACCCTCTCTCTGCTCTCCACACGGAGTAGCACCTCAGGGCTCATTTGCAGAGAACATTTCGACGGCTCTTCTGGAGAGAACAATGAACAGATCTCTGGACAGACCCACTGTTTTTCCAGGTTCTCTCCATCACTGATGGGCTGGAATGTCTAGATTCTAATACATATTGGAAAACATTTACAAAGTGAGATGTTCTGGCACTCAAAGGTAAAATTACAAAAATACAGCTGGCAACAAAATCAATTTGACTTGAAGAGGGCTTCTATCAGAGTTTTACTTAAGCGCTCTGAGATGCTACCCTGTGTGGAGGGTGCTATAAGTGTTTGACATCGCGGGGAATGAGTAAATATTGCCAACATAAGCAGGTTTTTGACAACCTCACCACTAAATACCTCGTAGACTCTTACTACCATGGTTGCTATTTGCACTGAGGTCAATGTCTTTAACATTGGCTTGTGTAACCCACAGTAATGTAGTAGGATCACTTGATGTTAATATCTAGGTTCACTCCAGTGATTTTAAGATGCTTCACTGCTATATCTGTGGCCAAGTAAATAGCCTGTGATCCACTGATGTATTTTGTGCATGTTGAACAGTATTCTCCCAGCAGGTGATGGGCAGAACCCATGTGAATGACTTCTGACAACTTCTACTTTTGTTTACATTCTGAAGTAATCACTAAAGTCCTTTGAGACGTACGTTATGGTGATAAGACACTGTAATAAAAATCCATTTTCTTTCTCTGCAGCCACTGCAGGAAGATAATGAACCTTCCTGCATTTGCATTTTTCCTTGCATTTGATGGACAAGTTGACCTTTAGGACTGCTGTAACCCACATTATACACATCCTTCTTGGAAGAAAAATAATTGCAGCTTGTTTGATACTATGTATAATTGACCTACTTACCATTTTATCGTATTGTAATCTTTATTTCTTGCAGCCTATCTTACTGATAGCAAACTCTAACCTTTTACAGGTCTATAAGCCCAGTGGTGCAGATGGTAATGTAGGGAGGGGACAGAGAATACATCTTCAGCTTTGGGACACAGCTGGCCAAGAGAGGTTAGTCTTTTGTCTTCTACATTTTTATAAGGCCCCAGATAAGATAAAGCGTGTGTATGTCTTGCTTTCCACGTACACTGTTAGTGACGCATGTTTGTTTTACAATGCTGTGCAGAGCAGAATGGATTCCACAACCTATCGTTGAAAAAAACTTATCGCTTTCATTTCGCCAGGTCCAATCCTCCAGCTTGAACTTTAAATGTACCTCAACCTTATTCCCACTAACATCTTGTGATTCCAAGGTTTTTGTTTACATTTTATGCCAAAAAGCACATTAGTCTGTAACATTAATATTAACAGAAAGGGAGTCCTTTCTGATTGATGAAGGTTGGTCTCCTTCCTTCCTGTTCTTTGCTGCTGAACTAACAATGTTATTAAAAAGTTTTTTCTTTTAACTGATGATCTCCTGGTTATGACTTGTTTTTAAGCAACAGTGACACTTTCATCCAATTTGAACTTCACATTATAACCATTATTCCTTGCCAGACACGTTCTTCTTTTCAAACCTTGGCACAGTAATAATCTCTCATATGCCTCATTTCTCTCTCTGGAATGGGATTGACCATCTCAATAACTTTTTATTTTCCTGTCCAGTGACCTGTTCCATTGCTTTCCCATCTGTTTGTCAGAACTAGGTGACTGGGGTCAGCCTGGCTCAGTTGGTAGGAATCATTGTCAAAGGTACCATCCTTTTGACGTGATGTTAAACTGAGGTCCCATCTGCCTGTCCAGGTTGACATTGAAGACCCAGGCGTTTCTCCTGGTGTCCTGACCAACAAGTCCTCAGATAAAATTGGTCTTACATTTCATTGTTGTGTTACCTCCAAATACACAATCACTACACTTTACAGTAAATCCTTTGAGACATCTCGATATTGTAATAAGGCACTACATCAAATGCAAGGAATATGATGCATTACAAATAACCCTTGTTTTAGTTTTGTGAGGGGCTTTGATATTTGTAAAAACGTTGGTCATGCATTGTAATTGTTTTTGTTTCTCTTACCTTTTAGATTCCGCAGTCTAACAACTGCTTTCTTCAGAGATGCCATGGGATTCCTGCTGATTTTTGACCTGACAAGCGAGCAGAGTTTCCTCAATGTCAGAAACTGGATGAGTAAGTTCATTTCGGTTTCCCATCCATAGCTTCAATTTGCTCGGGAACCCCAGAGATTTTTTTCAGCTTTATCTTGAGACATTTATGGTCAGGTGCCACAGCGTCTCAGTGCCAGAGAACTAGGAAGGAGAGAAATAGATGCCTGAGTGTCTTTGGAGCCATCTCAGCAGAACAACTGAAAGTCTCGCCACCTTATGCATAGAGAATGCACTTGCGTGTGTGTGTGTATATATATATATATATAATATATATGTATATAGGGAGGAAAGGAGCAAAGTGCTATTGTTTAATGGGTTGGGACACAGAACATCCTGTGATGAGCAAATAGAGCAGTTATTTGTGCAAATTCCAGGCAAGGTGTGAGCCTAAAAGAAGGTTAATTTCAGTGATTGATGATTATTATTATTTTCACACACATCCCAAACATCATTTGTCTTATTATTCTAAATTAGACTTCTTGCAGTTCAATCTTCTTTTTTGCTGTTTGTTGGCACAGTTTTGTGTCTGAGGCAATTTTGGTTCCAGATACATTCAAACCCCAGGAAGTTCACTCTCCATAGTTACGTGTTTGGTAATAACATGGGCAATACCGCAGCTGTTTTCTGATACTGGGGTGAATTCTGTGGACCATTTGAATTCCACTTGCGTTCAGGGTCTGTGCTGCCCTTCACCCAGAAAGCTGTTCTCTGTGAGAGCCTGGCTTCTCGTTCACTTGTTTCAGGAATTTCTGTAATTTTACTTTGCCACATTTTGCTCTAATTCACAGAGACTGAAAGGTTTCTCTTAATTCACTTATCTGTAAATTCAGTGTGATTAGACAGGCTCTGTTAGAAATTAATTGCTCTGCTAAGCTTATTAATACAATGATCTGATAGAGAACCTGATCCACAAGTTGATTTTAATTGACGTCTTCTAGTAGCTCGCTGTTCACTTTAGTCTTACGAAAATAAATGTATAAAGATTGTCTTTCTAAATTGGAGGGGAATAATTGGGGGAGGAGGGCAAAATTTGGAGAACCTTTTTCTTGTGGTAAGAATGTTGTTTTTTTTAAAAAACAGCATTGATTGACAAAGGGACTTCCCTTCCAGAAAGAGTACAACCCATTCTCATAAGAGCTCCACAGAACTCACATAATCTCACAAGAAAAGGTTCTGTGAAGCTTCCCCCTTTCTCCCACAGATAAATAATTCCACAACCCAAGATGATGTCTACTTTACATATGTCTCAAAGCAGCTGTCTTCCTTGGCATGACATTCCTGGCTCTCAACAGCTCAGGAACTATTAAATGCTACACACCATTTTGAGTAACACTATGTCATCTTCTGAATCCCTCAATCCCAGTTATCTCCAATTTTCATTCTCGTTTTTGTTTGAAAAGGTGTTAATTGATGCAGCTCAGAACGCTTCATCTGCCAGGAGGTTCCACTAATTTGTGAGGTTCAACTGGATCACTTTTGGTCTTCAGTCTTGCTTGAGGCTGCTTGATGATAATAATCCTTGGATTTGGCTTATCACGTCTTCGAGACACCTCAAATTTTTAAAAAATGTTTTAATGTTTGCAGCTCTGTCCCCCAGTTCTGTATTTGCTGTTCAAGCTAATTAACTTGCCAGCATCTATTGTACACTTAGTGAGAGTCCAGAATGGCAAACATTAAGCATGTGCGTTCGTGTCGTATTCACGGCCAGAATTCATACATTTCAATTTTTAGTTTAAGCTTTTCTGCCGCGATTAAAACAAGCAAGATGCACATCAAAATTGAAGTGTTTTTTTTTTTTTTCTTCGAACATTTATTCTTCAGGCAAAATTCAATTTCCGTTTAATAGACATTTTGAATTCATCGCAGAACAACAAACAACTTGTATTTATTATAGCGCCCTTCACATAGAATAACTAGCTGGGTGTCGAGGCTAAGGTAAGAAATGCAGTGTTTAGCACTTGGCAGTAGAGGTCCTGGGAAGATAACGGAGATGAATAATAATGGCCATCTGTGGTACAATTGTACTGGTAAACACCAGAGAGGATTTTTCCAATGAATTGTCAGTAAGGTCACTGTCGATCTTTGTGCTGATTTTTCAGTTGTTAATTTGCCGCTGCTCTGCCACTGTCGAGTGCTTCCCTATACCAAGGTGCTATATAAATGCAAGTTATTGTTGCTGAGGTGCCGATTCACATTGGCACTGGATTTTGCAATTTCACGTCCTTTCCGGAAAATGATTCCCTCCATCTGCTGAATGCTTTTGTGTCCAGGTCAGCTCCAAATGCACGCTTACTGCGAAAACCCAGACATTGTCTTGTGCGGCAATAAAAGCGATCTGGACGATCAGAGGGTTGTAAAAGAAGAGGAAGCCAAGGAATTGGCAGAGAAATACGGGTAAGTGGATAACTCCCAAGCAGTAAAGTTCAACATGTGTTGTTTATCTAAGGGGATGCTTTGTGTTTCTTGTGCCAATGAACTGGTGAGTTAGAACGGAACAGGAAAATACTGTCCCAGCAAACCAGAGGAACACTTCCCAATTTGATAAGATTACTGAGCAAATATTTGTGGGGAAACATGTCGTGACTGCACTTTCACAATGCAATCAATAGAGCTGGTGCTTTTTGGGGCACTGCGGCCAATAACATGGTTTAGACAGTGAGTGCCCTGTGGAGAATGGGTCTCCTTGTACCACTCTACTACTGGGTGCCATTAGTAGAAGCGAACTCATCTATACTGCATGGTTGGCAGTTATTCACCGCCAAATGCAGTGTAAAAAGACTGGGGTTGTTTAATCCTTCTCTATAAATGCACAGAATGGAAAGTGCTGAAGCTTCTTTGGAGTAAGATAGTTACTGAAGCATAAAAGGATCCAATAATTACCCCCTGATTACATTATCACATAAAAGCTTATTTGTCCTATTCATTTTCAATCAGAAATGCAAGTTGCACACTGACCCCATGACACTGAGCAAAGCAAACTGTTCTGACACAAGCTGTATTGGATGGGTTTCTGAACCCGCATGATATGCAAAGTCACATCATTTTATAGTATATCATGTGAAGTGCTTTGAGAAGTCGCAATGACTTAAACAATGCAGTGAACAGGCGCTATATCAAATGCAAGGATTATTATGTACAGAATACTATTGGGGTAAAAGGATAGATGATGACAAGTGGTGCCCCCTAGGGATTGATGCTGGAACTGCAGCATACTACGGCTGAATGATGGAATAATGGGGCAGTTTTCTGATGATAAAGTAAAAGGTGTAGACACTAGTGAAGAGGAGAAAATTGCAAAGGGACATAGACTGTGTTTTGCCCCTTAGTTAGAGGCCTTTTATAGGATTAGTTATATAATTAAGCCATCTGAAAGAGAAAAGAATAATCAGACAGTCACGGTGACAACCTTCTAAGGTCAGTCATTAATTTCACTATGCACCACTTGCCAACATCTGGTCACTCATTTCTGAGAACCTTAAACCCATTACTGAAGGGTGCAAGTGCCAGCAAACCAAACAGAAAGCATCAAAGTGCTGACAGTTTCAAAGCAGCCTCTGAATTAGTCTAAGAAAGCACGCAGCAGTTTTGCTTGGGGGCAGTACGGTCATTAATAACCTTGAGAGTCTCATTATTGACCTTTGATCATCTCGGGCTGGTAATGAGCATAATGTCCTTCAAAAATAATAGCAGGTTCAAGGATAATTTGTCATGTGTAAAGTGCACCCTTGGAGATTAACCAGTCTTTGGGCATTGCAACCTGATCGATTTTGGTACAGATTAGTTTCACTGAAATTTTGGCTACAAGTGGCTTTCCGTTTACTTGTCAGAATAATAGCATTTGTTGCATGTAATCACTCACACTTGCATCTGTTAAGCTTAATCAAGGATGGTGTATTAGCTTGCATCTTAATCGGGTAAATGTAGTGTGCTCTGGGGTCCTGCCTGACTGCTGGTCTGGTCTTGGTTTCAGACTCTCCTACTTTGAAACGAGTGCGGCAATTGGGACAAATGTGAACAAGGCGGTGGATACTCTGTTGGACCTTATCATGAAGCGAATGGAACGGTGTGTGGACAAATCTTGGATACCTGAAGGCGTAGTAAGGTCAAATGGCCACAGCTCCACTGAGCAACTAAATGGAGATGACCAGGACCAAGGGAAATGTGCCTGCTAGATTTGGCATGTGTGCAAACTTTTTTTTTTGTTTGTTTGTTAATGATTTGAGCTAAACCACGTATTTTTCTGATATGCATGCCATGTCCCAAACTAATATTTTGATATAATAAGATATTTGTGGACTAAAGATTACTAATGCCATCTGTGAATTACGTGTACTCTTCTGTTTCTACAGGAGATCAGGGCAGGTTGAGCACCAGCAATAGCTAATTCAGGGTTGGCGCAAGATTTTGAAAGTCTGAGTGACCATTTCTGATTTTAATAGACCGGTACAAATGTAGACAGACCCTGGAGTGGTAAGAAGCGACTGCCAAAAACTAATCACTTAATTCTTTGCTTACACAATCTTTATTTTAAACGAGTCTTCTGGTGCACCTTGTGATACTACTGTAGTCTCGTCATTCTTTCCCTTTATACACGATCGGGGGCTTCTTTCTTTTGAAAACCAATCTTGAGTTTTCTCACTTGGTGTCTGATTTTTAAAATTCATTATTTATGGGTTTTATTGCTGATTCCTGGTTCTTGCGATCTGAGCAAAAATAAACCATACTTCAGATTCCTTTGCACGGAAAGATTTGTTCAAATTTGATACTGTATGTGCCCACAAGAACTGCTAGTGCATTGCCAAGTCCTTATACTGGACTAATGCTAAACTGTTTAAATCCTGCCGAATACTTGATTAGATCCAAGGTAGAGTTAATTTAATGAACCTCTCGTATGAAGGTGTTTTTTTTTACAAAAAATACACTCTACCAGTTTCATGTTGGTTTGTAACATGTTGGGGGTTATTGGAATGAAGGGGGAGATAGCACTTTAGAAAAGGAATGTGGTCTTTAAATCAGTATGATGGATCAAGGTAAACCGAATTTTCAAAATTGTTTCCATTGGGATTAAAAGTTTCTGGATTGTAAATGTAATTAGATTTGATACAAATTGTTAAAAATACTGTATTTTTCTCTTATGTACATCTGTTTACAATGCTGTTTTTAAAAGCCTTATTTGGGGGAAAAAAAGTATCATGTCCTTTCTAATAAAACCAAAATCCTCTTTTTCTGTTTGATGTTGTACATCTTTGAAGAAATATAGTATTAATGTGCTCTAAGTAATAATGTATATTTGCTGTGTCAACTGACATGCTGAAAACATCACAGCTTGACACACCATCACACAGTTGAAGTGGATGAAAAAACATCCCAAGTGATGCTATATTTTCAACCCGCCTTCTGCATTACTAAATATTAGAAGCCTTCCCCCACCACCCACAAAAAATATTATTTTTGTTTATTAAGTGAAACCTGGAATGATGTTTATCACCCCAAAAATCTGCGTACAATATTAATGTTTTGGAATTTTTGAAATTCTCAGAAAATAATTAGCAACCCTTGAATTCCTAAACCGAGTTCCTGGTTTTATTATCTCAAAAGGTTGAAGGAAATATCTCATAATATTTAATAAGTTCCTTATTGCTATTGTACACTCTTGTAACCAATTTAATTTGTCGAGAGAACAGGGCCATAAATAACTTTTGTTCCGAACAAGCAGAAATAATTGACTGGGTCAACGGCTGAGGGATGTTAGTTTTCTATACTGCGAGATTAATTACAAAACACGTGAGAAAAATTATTTTGCAGTGCAATAACATGTTTTAGTTATACAGCCAATGGAATTTTTGTTGGTGGTTGTCAATTTCATGGATCAAGCACGAGATGTGGAATGACAACAATATGCATTTATAAAGCACCCTTCAAATGGGAGATGTCTTGGATTGCTTATAAACCAGCATTCGCCAGCGGTGGAATTGACCCGAGGAGTAGGGGGAACAGGAGGTCATAGAAAAAGGGTGGGGGATGTGGGGGGGGTAAGGCTGTCGATATGGGTGATAGGCTCAGGGAGCCTTCCTAGCTAGGGAAGGACACGGGCTGCAGAGTTCTGGACAGTCAGAGCATTGGAATAATCAAGCCAACAATCTAAGGCTGGAGTTCAAGTAACAAAGTTACTACACTATTTAGAGTCACACACTATGAACAGAAGGTCAATTTGACGCATCGAATCCACCCAGTCAATTAATGCAGCCGGCCATGTATTTTGGTTAGTATTAATGTCGTGGCATTAGGTGTCTATATCTCAATAGATTCCCAGGACGTCACGTTTCAAGCTAGAAAAAGACAATAACACAATAGATAATCATGGAGCATACTTCTCATTTGTTCCTGTTTCTTGACACCTTAGCTTTACAGTGAATCTGCCAATTGCAATTCTGGTGGGAATTCCTGCCCATAAACCTTTCAGTGTTTTCCTGACTTAATTGTTAATTAGTTGGTATCCAGCAGATGAATATGTAGAGGTTACCCATATTCTGCTGTTCAATATATCAGTTTACTATTTCTTTAAAACAAGCAAGCTCAACAAAAGCAATTAATCACGTTGTTACATCCAAGTTGTTCTGCAGAAACATAAATGTAGTGCGACACTTTGTAATATATATTGGTAACACTGCAGAACGGATATAACATATTTAGGATATGGAGACGTTCTAGATTTCAGCATTGTGCTATGAATTCAAAGCATGCATCTTGTAACTAACCTTGTTTTCTCTTAAGTTTCCTGTCTTAATGTGTGCTGGCTTTGTGCCCTCTTCTTTGGCCGAAGGTCTCGTCTCACCCTAAGGTTGCGATATATTAATAAATGGTGATTTGTTTAGGATGTTTTTGTTCTTGCAATGGCTCCCCGTTATGCTGTTTGTTTGTTTTAGGAATTCTCTATTCCATACTCTAATTTCTCCCAGGGACTCATTCACTGTGCCGTTGTTTCTCTTGCCGATTTGCTGGGTCATTTTGTGTTTGTGTCTGAGATTCGATGCCTGTTCCTGATTTCCACCCTCCCTTCCTCACTCATAAAACTTTCTCTCAGGCGTGCCTTGATGGAGAGCTCTAGCTCTCCAGTTTCTTACTGACATTCGCTGTCCTCTTCAAGTGATTCATCACTCTTCTCATTTCACATAGGGATTGACCACGACATTCTACTAACCCCCTGGGATTTGCAAGAGCTCTCAGACATTCCTCTCAGACCTTTGTGACGTTTGCCTGTCAAGAGAGATCCAGCACAAAAATGTTTTCATCGGGAGGTTTGCTAAGGCCCCATTATTTGTTGCACTTATTATTTGTTCTTCATTTGATGTTACAAAGAGATATTGTATTCACTGTTCTAGTAATAATCCTTGCATTAGATTATAGTGACATGTTATCAAGATTTCTCAAACCGATTCACTGAATTTGCTGTAAAGTGCAGTGGCTTTGTATTTTGTAGGCAAACGCATCAGCCAATTTCCATACTGCAATGAAACACTGAAATTATAGTGTAAGAAATGATGGGGGTGGGGGGCAGTTTCTAGACAAAATCTTGATAACCCCACAACCTCTGAGAGAATCTGTGCAGCAGCCTGTTTATTAAGAGGTTTGGTATTCTAAGAACAAGTTAGTAAAGTGGTGAGCACTGTGATTGGTGCCATGCTGAGGAAACAGGCCAAGATTCAGTTCCCGTACATCATTGTCAAATCTCTGCTGGACCGCTGGCTGCTCATTGGCTTGACAACGTCAGGGGCCAACAGTTCGCTGTGTAACGAGTTTTCCCCATTGTGAATGCTACATAATTCAAGGCCATCACCATTGGAAACTCATCATTGACAGACCCAAGAAGGGAACCTGAAACAGCAAGATCAATTCGTGCAATAGGTTGGCACACTTAAAAGAGCAAAGAACCATCCATCTAGCACAGGTCTTGAATAAGCTTGACGAATATTCAGCAGCAATGCGGCTTAATTTATGTCCCAGTTGGCTCCCGCATCCTGCTCCTGTGTCTGACAGATGAGGATATCTGGTGTGGTTCCTCGTAATTGCCTTCACTGATCCCAATATGAGTTGAATATTGATGATGGGTCTGATTTTAATGTATCTTCTACAATTGAGCTCATGGCACGCTCATCCCATCATATGCATTGTGTGTAGCTCTTGCTGTCTTGCTCCCTCTAGGATTGGGGCATCGTGGAGAAATCCGGGCTGATGGATGTCCAGCACAGAGTGGTGGCTGCATTGTTGAATTACGACTTGGGGACACATAATGAGTATGGGGATAGTGGCTCATGAATAATGGGAATTCTGCATGCAAGGGAAAGTCACTGGAGTATAACGTTGTCTGATGGATGCTGACAGAGCCCCTGTATATTGTCACAGGCTAGGAATCACAGGAAAGCATCCTTCAGGTGTTGGTGAAATGAAGCTACATCTGGCATTTGTGATTGCCACAGGATGTATGGAACCAGATAAGATGGTAAGGTAAGATTTCCTGCGAAATATATGAAAGGTCCGTTCCTCTATCCAGCCAGCAACCTACGTAAAAGGACATGGATATAGGAATGTTTCCACACTTCCCAGAATCTTTGAGTACCTGAAAGAAACTCAAGTAATTGTGCTAATGGCAGGTTTATGTCGACAGACACCTGTAGTGTCTAATTTGTGGGGTCTGGAGCAAAGAAGGGTGAGAAACTTAAAACCTTAATGTGGTGTACCATTCAAAGTACCCAATACAGTACTCCCGGATTCTCCCTACTCATTTACCCCCAGGCATCAGATGGCATAAACTTTACGCCAATGCAAGACAGTAGGCAGTAGCAGTGCTAAGCTCACTCACCATTCGGAGAGGTTGCTGACAACTTTACTTCCTGGAGCAATCTGCTCCAAAATGAAATGAGATATTTGCTGCAAATTATGATTCTTTTTCATATTCCTTTTGTCAGTTTTTAATCAAGATAGGTCAGAAGTGATTTGCAACAGCAAAACCAATCACAGGCGCAATGTTATTCAGTCGTTCAGTCTTGTTAGATGGACATCTAGCAAGCTTCCAAGGCAACAATGCCTTTTTAAAAGCACTCATGTCGAATGGAAAAAAAACTTGTAGAGTACATGGTTAGAAAGGGAATTTGAGCTCTCTCCGTAAATGCCTCAACAGCCGTTGTAAAGGCGCTGTACAAATAATCTGCAGTCAGTCTATAACATTGTGAATGAAGGAAATCAACTAGCATTGATTTAAAAGTGAAGGGAGTTTCTCCTAGTGTCCTGGCCAATAATCCCCCAAATCGATTTGATCATTCACTTCAGGGCTTTTTATGGGATATTTGCTGCGTGCAAATTAACGGCTGCATTTGCCTGCAAAATACAGTCATTACACTTTGCAGTAAGGGCTTTGAGATGTATTACCCAATTGAAACATAAGGTACTTTCAAAGGCGAAGGGAGGGTGGGGGGGGAGAGAGAAAGGAATTGCCTGAGTTCTCAGGGAAGTTGCCGTGTGTGTGTGTGCATATTGCAGTTGACTGAACCAGCAGTGCAAGCTGGTGCGAGGGTGGAAGGGGGCGCTGCAGACTGTGGGGAAAATTGTTGAATTTTAATGATCGTCAGGCTGTGGAGCGGGACCGATCGTGGATGTTAATGACCTCTGATCTGGTTACCTCAGGGCTGCAGGTTCCAGCCAACGTGAGAGAAGATGCAACAGCACCAGGAGTTGGTTGTGATCTGCCTTCCCGATCGACGAGAGATAAGGGCACTGTCGGGAAAAGTGCAGAACAACGGGGAACATGAGTTATTCGCAACTTAATAGCGTTCACATTTAGGAATGCCCCACAAAACAATTGCCTCACCCCCCCACCCCACCAACCCCCGAACCCCACCTCAAACCCCCACTCACTGCACATGATGGTTCAGAGTTAGTCCAGCGAGTCGCTGAGGAACACACACATGGCAGGTCTCAGGGCCGATGGTTAAATTCCAACTACAAACCCATCGTTTGTCATTTATCCATTTATTCCCCCTTTTCGGCCCCAAAAACAACAGCCAATGACATTTGCGAAGCGGCCTTTCGCGTCAGGAGGACGTCCCAAACCCTCCAACAAATGATTGCACCTTGACATAAAAAGAGGGGGGTGGGGTGCAGGGTGGGGGGTGCGGGGGGGGGGGTGCAGGGGGGGTAAGGGAGGGGGGCAGGGGGTGGGGCTGAGCGGACCCCCGAGAGACACCCTCGCACACATGGGCGCAGGCGGGTGGTGACGCGGACCTGGGGGGCAATGACCACTGGGAGGCCACGCTGCTGTCAGCGCTCCGGGACGCTATCCTGCTTGAGGCGCGCTGTATAAATGCAACCTGTTGTCGTTGTCGGCGTGAGAGTCGGTCACTGCCTGGCCACAGGGGGCGCTGTCAGTCACTCCCAGCCCCGCCCACAGAGGGGGCGCGGTCAGTCACACCCCGGCCCCGCCCACAGAGGGGCGCTGTCAGTCACACCCCGGCCCCGCCCACAGAGGGGGCGCTGTCAGTCACTCCCCTGGCCACGCCCACAGAGGGGGCGCTGTCATCACCCCCGCCCGCCCACAGAGGGGCGCTGTCAATCACTCCCCTGGCCCGCCCACAGAGCGGGCGCTGTCATCACACCCCGCCCGCCCACAGAGGGGGCGCTGTCAGTCACACCCCGGCCCCGCCCACAGAAGGGGTGCTGTCAGTCACACCCCGGCCCCGCCCACAGAAGGGGCGCTGTCAATCACACCCCGCCCCGCCCACAGAAGGGGCGCTGTCAATCACTCCCCTGGCCGCGCCCACAGAGCGGGCGCTGTCAATCACACTCCCGCCCCGCCCACAGAGGGGGCGCTGTCAGTCACACCCCGGCCCCGCCCACAGAGGGGCGCTGTCAGTCACACCCCGGCCCCGCCCACAGAAGTGGTGCTGTCAGTCACTCCCCTGGCCCCGCCCACAGAGGGGGCGCTGTCAGTCACTCCCCTGGCCCGCCCACAGAGGGGGCGCTGTCAGTCACACCCCGCCCCGCCCACAGAGGGGGCGCTGTCAATCACTCCCCGGTCCTCGCCCACAAAGGGGGCGCTGTCAGTCACTCCCCTGGCCCCGCCCACAGAGTGGGCGCTGTCAATCACTCCCCGGTTCTCGCCCACAAAGGGGGCGCTGTCAGTCACTCCCATGGCCCCGCCCACAGAGTGGGCGCTGTCAATCACTCCCCCGGCCACAGGAGGCGCTGTCCGGGGCGCCGGCCGCTTTGCCGCGGCTCCTCACGGGGATCGGCCATTTTGTTTCGCTCCCGGAGCCGGAGGAGAACGTGGAGGCCTCGGGGGCCGAGCGAGAGGAGGGATGAGGATCGAGAAGTGCTATTTCTGCTCGGCTCCGGTGTACCCGGGCCACGGCATGATGTTTGTACGCAATGACTGCAAGGTGAGCGGGGGCGGCGGCGGGGGCTGCGCCCTGGCGAGGCCGAGGCTCCAGGGCCTGAGGTGCTCCCTGGGCCCGGGGGCTATTCTATCGTCTATTTCAATTCTCTCAGAATCTGAGGATTTCTTTTATAATTATATTTATATTATAATTTAAAAAAAAAAAGCTGCTGGTGCTGGAGGAGGAAGGGAGTGTGTGTGTGTGTGTGAGAGAGAGAGAGAGAGAGGGGGTGGGGGGCAGTCAGGGGACTCAACTTCTTTGCCCCCCTTCTTTTTCCGGTCAGCCGGGTGTCTGACCCGTGCGGAGACCCATCACCGTTGCTTAAGGGTATCCGAACCAAGCTGAGGTTTCCATGCATCCCGCCTACACGGGGAAATTCCAGAGATAATAATAATAATAATAATCCTTGCATTTGACACACAGCGCTTTTCACGTCGGGAGGACGTCCCAAAGCGCTTCACAGAACACACTGTAAAGTGAATTGACTGTATGTTTGTGGGTGAACGCGGCAGCCAATCGCGCACAGCAATGTCCCACAAACAGTCGTAGATTGAAAATGACCAATTTTTTTTTGATTGTTGTTTTTGGTTTTTGGAGGGATTATTATTAGGCTCTGTGTGGAGTAAGGAAACTTGCCCAAGGTTTGGCCCTCTGCTGGGAATTGAACTCAGGTCTCTCGCTTGCAAAGCGAGTGCTCTAACCACTGAGCTACAGGACTCCACGAATATTGAGTGAAATGGAATGCGCGCTCCCTCCCTGCAGGGACGCAGCTACTTGTACCTAATTCCGGAAAGTATTCGGAGCAGGTTGTCAAGAGCCAAGGCTTGGGGACCCCAGGGTGTGCGTTGGGAGTACGGCTGGAGTCCAACCAGCTAAAGCTGCAGAGCTTACCATTGATAGCACTGTTTGGCAGGCTTTCCCTCTGCTTGCCCAGCCAGGACCACCAAACCCGTTAGAGCTTTGGCTTTCAGGGTTCAGGGGCCCAGAGTAGGAAGAGTCCCTGCCCCCAGTGACTGATCTTCTCTTCTAAGTCCTGCCGATGAGCCAGGCTGGCTCTGCTGTCATCAGCAATGCTCTGGAATACTGTGGACCTGCCGGGCTCATCAGGAACCGGGACCGCCACAGAGTACAGGGTGTTATAGTCGAGCCTGGATGTGATGAATACGTGGCTGAGGGGAGAGGCGAAGGCAGGCAGGCAATGTTGTGAAGGTTGGGGGAACCAGATGGGTCATGGCATGGATGTTGGCGTTTGAAAGTTTGAATACTTGGAGTGAATGTGTAATAAGGGAAAGAATAGGATTTGGGTAGTTAGTGCCAGTGGAGGAGGAACACTGTATTGACACGTTTTGTTACCTGAATCGGTTTTGTTACCTGTGTCCTTAGCTTGTAACCAAAAGTGCCATCCATCTGTTGAGATTGATTATAAGGTCATCTGTACATTATCACAGGATTCAGAGGTGATTTGTGAACACACATGAGTGTCATTTAGCTGAAATACAATGTGTGCATATCCTGGAAACTAATACGTGGAGGTGATTGAGAAATTAGTTTTTTTAGTTAACTCACCAAAAAATCCCAGTATTTATGGTGGAAATTAGTAAAAAAAATTGACTAACATGCTTATTAAACCCATTAAGTATTTCACTTAGCAGAAGTTGTAAATGATTTTCATTTCAATACAAGTACCTAAGATTAGCTCCTGTAGTTTTAGTGTGCTCCAATGTATATTTCCATAACAGTGTGTGGGTGTATTAACAGGTCCGATTGGTAACTAGCCTGTTGTTGGGTGTATAGTCCTGGAATGTTAATTTAATATAGCAATGTATTTAAACAAAGATAAAAGTTCTCAGTGGACAAAAAGCAAAGTTGCTGGCAGCCAGACTGGCTATTTTCTATTGATCCTAAACTGAGATTGATGTATTTTTACTAGTTCTTTGCTGAATTATTGAACTGTTTAAATTGAAAGGAATAGCAAAAACCTTTCTTAAACAGAAAGAGACAACATAATAGATCGAAACTAGAATTGCACTTCCACAGGACTCAATTTATAAAAAGCCTGCGGATCCAGAATAACAAGAGATATTCAATGCTAGTTGTCAGATTTGCCATGCTCTCATCCACTGTTGTAATTCATTAAATTTTTCTTTTTCTAGGTTTTCAGATTCTGTAGATCAAAATGTCATAAGAACTTTAAGAAGAAGCGTAACCCAAGAAAGGTCAGGTGGACAAAGGCCTTCCGTAAATCAGCTGGCAAAGAATTGACAGTGGTGCGTAACAGGAACATGTTCTCCATACTGCTTCTCTTTCTTAGCATTGTACATTGTTTTGAGCTCTGTTAGTTTTAACATTGTCCTCAATCTTTCATTCCTCAGGATAACTCATTTGAATTTGAAAAACGCAGGAATATGCCAGTCAAATACCAGAGAGAGCTGTGGTCCAAGACGGGTAAGAAGCTCTTCTACAGCATAGGATTTGTGTTCTGAATATATTAAATGTTTTGAAGAGGATAAGAGTTGTCTTAATGTAGCTAGTGAAATTCACTGAATGGTTGTATGCAGAGGAAAAGTCAACCCAAGAATGAGTGGCATCTCTGACATTTCAGATATTTTTGGTTATTTTCCACAAATGATTAAGGGAGAAAGAATGATTGAGTGAACAGAATATTACAAATGTAAGATGTTTATAGAGGGTCTTTCACATCAGGATGACTTAAAGTGCTTTGCGCAGTTTGCTGGAAGACAAAACTGGGTTGGGGTGGTGAAGGTGGCTGAAAGAGCTGTTGAAGAGATAGGTTTTGAAGTTTGGAGGGAGGTGACAAGGGGTGGGGGGATAGGTGGGGTATTCGGAAAACTCGCTTCCCAATGGTGGGGTGGATATCGGATTATAGGAGCAGCTCTTGTAATTGTGAGAAGCTGCGTTGCCATCTGACTGAAATCACTGACGTTGATGTTAAATGCGATCCGAATTGGAGAGGATAAGTGATGAGTGCTGGTTTATCAGAGCTTATGCAAGATGCAATCTGTCAAGAATAGGGTCAGGCAACTGACATAACTCTACTCTGGGTTTAGGCCTAAGGCATGTTGCTACATTAACTAATACAGATCCAAATTCTCACTGCACATATTATGAAATGGAAGTAGTTTTCATTCTCTGCTATTTAATTTTGAATGTAGAATTTCTGTGAGTTTTCTGGGCCAATCCTTCTACAGTGTTGGATCCTAATATGGGAAATTAACTGTATAATGGAGATGATATTCCAGAAAATTTTAAAGATGTGCTTCTTTTGTGGGGAACTATTTACAGTTTAGACTTAATAGACCTAAATTCTCTATAATAATCCCTATTTTGAACAGCTGAAAGCTTTAACAGTCCCAATCAGAAATTCAACAACAACATTCCATTTATAGAGCGCCTTTCACGTCGGGAGGACGTCCCAAGGCGCTGGACAGTTGGGTCAGGACCCGAGCAGGGGGGAAATGGTCAGGGTGAGGGGAGGGAAGGGAGGGAGCGAGGAGCGGGTAGAGAGTTGAGAGGGGAGCTGAAGGCACAGTCGAAGAGAAAGGTCTTGAGACCGGCTTTGAAGGAGGAAAGGGAGGAAGCAAGGCAAAGGCACTGGGGGATGGAGTTCCAGAGCCTCGGGGCTGAGAGGCTGAAGGCCCGGCCACCAATGGTAGGGCGGTTGGGGCGGGGGATGTAGAGCAGACCGGAGCCAGAGGAACGGAGGGTACGGGCAGGTAAGTAGGGGGATAGGAGGTCAGAGAGGTAGGAGGGAGCAAGGCCGTGAATGGCCTTGTAAGTGAGGATGAGGATCTTGAATTTGAATGCAGAAGTCCACGGAATAATACAGCAAGTCCAAGGAACCTGTGCAGTCTTAGTCTGGCATAAAAGCTGATATTCTTATACTACCTCAGTGTGTGTAATCTAAACACTAGTCTGGGTTAGATTATTACATGTATTCATGCATGAGCATTGTCAGTGGGCAAGCATAGTGTAAAGATCAAGTTTGAATTTTGTGGTAGCAGTTAACCAGATGTGATGAAGAGAGCTAAAGAGCATGTTATTGCTGGCAGCCAATCCCGGAAAATAGAGCAAATGAAGAGACTTTTTTTTAAAATTCCACTTTTTATCATATGTGAATGACTGGAGAGGCCGGATTATTTTAGAACTACCATTCGGAAAGCTCTCAATTTTCAAATGACCAAATGTTGGCTTGTTAATGAAATCCGTGTTTGAATAAAAGCATTATTTTGCAATCACACTAATGACACAATTGTGTTCAACAGTTGAGGTTATGAAGAGAGTTCAAGAAATCAAACAGAAACGGCAAGCAAAATTTATCACAAACAGGTGAGTGTGACAAACGGCTTCAGAGGGAAGAACTGAAGGACATTGCATTTAGTTCCAATTATTTCAGAAGCAAGATTTCAAATTTCAATTAAAACTTATCAAATGCAGCTATCTTTCTATGTACTAATGGTTTGTAATACGAAGGGTGTTAGCCACAGAATAATTGGATGCAGTTTCTCCCCAGCTAGGTTTGTTATCTCTTGTATTGTCTTGGGAGAGGGAGGAGATGTTGAATTGTGGTTTGGTATTTTCTTCTTTCAACTTCCTTCTCTGCCGCTGCTGCCTGAGTAAAGCTGAAATCAAGCCTCCCAAGATCAGTATTGTACAGTTATAAGCTGTGGCCTGGAAATTATGATATTGGTGGTTGGGCGGGCAAGCAGAAGAAAGTAATTCAACGAGGAGTTTAAAATGTAAAATAACTTGCAAATGTCTGCTCAGATTGAGCCCCAAACGACAGTATGAACTCGTAATCTACAATGATGTCCCAGTGCAGCACTCGGGGAGTACTATGATGCTGAAGTTGCTGTCCTTGGGATGAGACTTCATCTTGTCTGCCTGTTCATGAGAATTTTAAAGATCCATGCCACTATTTTGATGAAGGACAGTGTTCTCTTGGATTTCTGCACAATATTCCTCCCTCATGAATGTAACCAAAAATAATTACATGTTTAAATCTGGCAATTCATCTCATGGAGTTGCTGCTGCAGCTCAGCTGTCACGTTTGCCTACCTATATAATCAGTCCCGGCACTTCACAGAGCAAATCATTATGGGAAGCGCTTCGAGAATTTGCAGCGTGGGTAGGTGCTGTATTATTTCATTAATGGGTAAAGATACTGCCCAGAACAGAGATAATGGCTTGATTTCCTGATCTTTTGAGTTAACTGATCTGAAGCAGTTAGTAGTTGGAGCAGACTAATTGACCTGGGTGCTCCTGAATTTCGGGGGAAAAAAAAGGGAATTGGCCAGGATATCTCATTGCTCTGCATTGACTTCTGCTGGAAATTATGTATGTTAGACTGTTGGTGGAGTTTGGGCTTTACTAATCTCTTACAGAATTTTACCTGCATTGTTATGGTTCTAAAGAAACACTTGTTTTTTTACAAGAGACAAATGTATGCAGTTTCAGTGGAATAATTTTCCTTGCAAAGGCCTCAACAGTTCTTATTATTTGATGAGTTATTGTATAACAATTCCTGTTGTGTGCAGAATTCTTTGTTCTCTATATTAATATTGATTTGCCTACTCTTGTTTGCTTTTGATCATAAAGTCTAGTTTGGCAAGGTGACATGTGGAATGTGCAGCTTTAATGTTATTTCTAAAATACCTGCTTTATACTCTACAATGTTTAATAAAATTGGAAATGCTGATATGTGTTGAATATTCTGCTTTTCAAGATTGAAGAAAGACAAAGAGCTACAGACAAAGTCAGACATCACAGAGGTCAAACAGAATATCCATCTTCTCGAAGCTCCTCATGCAGGTAAGTGGCTGTAATTGTATAATGACCAAAAGGAAATCTACCGATCCTCCAATATTAAAGATTAACAGCATACGTGTTTAAATATTATTCGATCTGAAAAGAAGTTTTATCTTTATGAGAAAGCACACTTGTGCTATGCTTACTAGTGCATTTTTATAGAAAGCAATGTGTGCCATGGGCTGGAAGTCCTTTTTTAGTGCAGGAAGCCAGTTAGTCAGCACTGGAAGCTGGATTTACTGTGAATCCGGATACCGTTCTCTCACTATAGACCATCACTTTTAGTGAGATAGCGCTGAATGGTGCTATAACTGAGCTCCCCTGAATCTATTTACCAAAATAAACCTTGCATATTGCTTTAGACTTGCCATCCAACAACAAACCAATACATTGCAATATATAGTTTGGGACACAATACATCAAGTGACTGCTAGGATGGTGGAAGGCGAACTGGATGGACCTTGGTCTTCTTTTGCCCAGCAAAATAATATATTCTGATCTCTTATTTGTATTCTGTAACAGCTTTTTACAGCAGTAGAAACTTCCTTTTTAGAATCAAAATAATAAATCAATTTCATTTTCAGCATTCTGAATAATTGCACATCTACCAGATGAGAAGATTTTCATACTTCATTTCAGACTAAGTTGATATGTGGTTGTTTTTAAATTGGTTAGCAATATAATTGTCAAAGCCCCACAATTGAGAGTACTGTTAAAATAAAATTTCATTTTGCTATTGTGAGTCTTTCAGAATGAATTAGAACAACGTTTTCAGTTTGGTTCATTATGAGATGCGTAACTCTCATGTATGCTTTCTTTTAACAGTGAAGCCAAAGAAATTGGAACCGAAGTTGGTGCAGACTGTACAAGAAGATATGGAGATGACAGAAGGCTCCTAATCACAGAAGCTCGTAGTCTAAAGATGAGAGATTTTGTGAACTGTTTCCTCTTGTACTGTTGTTGGATTTTACCAGAAGCATTGAATTTATGGATTCCATCTAATGGTACCAAAAATCACTTTACTTTATACTTTTGAGAAAGTGGGAATGAAGACAAATTGCCAATAAAGAAGCCTCTATTATTAATCAGTGTCCTTTTTTTTAATTGAATTATAAATGGCTTTTTCTGCAACTGTAACTAAGATTGTATTTTATGGGGGATCTAGCTCACATGTCTAAATCTTGAGAGCAGCCTGGTTTTGCTCTCTTTCCGCTCCCCCTCCACACACACAGACTTATCTTGGGGCCTGCATGCTGCGATTGATCTGGCACAAGTCAATCATTACACGCTACCTGAGAAATGTAACCTCGCCCGAGTGGGATGCTTTCTGATAACAGCCCACATTGAGCTGGCTAACACCGAAACATTGAGCAGTGACGAGTGGTGATAAATGGTTACTTGTGTATTGGGCAGGCCCAATTTTCGAGTCCAAAAAAGAACTGAGGTAAACATGCCATTTGTCAAATAAATGTGACTTTGGTATAATGATATTCTTTAAACATTGCAAAATTATATGCACCACTTTTTAAAAAAAATTGTATGCATTTTGTCTATTTCCACCATGGTTTTTTTAAAAAGTGACAGTTCTGCATTTCCATTCCTACATTGTTGACTGAACAAAGCTGCCATGAGTTAATATGAAGATGCAACATTTAAATTGCCTTAGCAGCATCGTGACTTGTGTGGCAGAAGACACTTATTTGCAAACAAAACAAAGCCTGAAAATTAGTCAGTGAAATCGATTCAGTCCACCATGAAGCTGGGATGGTTTTGCCATTTGCTATGTAAAGCAGCTATGAGTGGCTTCAATCTTGTTTAAATAAAGGCTCAATTCTTGAAAATATATCTACTTAAAATGTTTTTGCTTAAGGATTGGTCTGGGCAGTGCTTGATTCCTTTTCTTGCTTTTCAAATATACTTACTAATTCTAAAGTAGTGCAAAGAATTACAGAAAAAAATATTCATCAACTGCTTCTCCTTCAACATCACATGTGGCGGTCCTCAGGGCTCTGTCCTTGGTCGGTCCTCTGTTTAATATGTACATGCTCCTACTGGGTGATGTCATCCAAAGGCATGGGTTAACTTCAACATGCATGCAGATGACTTCCAACTCTATCTCTTTGACTCATTATCAGACATCAAATCCTGGATGAGAGCCAATTTTCTCCAGTTAAAAATACAAAAGCCAAGATAGACCCTCCTGCTTGGCTGACAGGATCACTATTCATGGAGGCATTCTCCACCTCACCAAGTCAGTACAGAAACTTGGTCATTTGTTTGACCCTCAACTGTCTTTTAAAAGCTACATCCATGCTATGACCTGTTCTGCCTCCCCCCACCTTCTGCTGCCAGCTTCAGGCATTGACATCTGTTTTTTTTATAACCAGTGTTGCCTTGATAAATAGGATTAATGTGCACACAGCTGTCTCTAAGCAGCCCGTAGTATTTCTATGGCTTGCCAAACTAAAAAGTTCAGAAATTGATCCAAATGTCTATTGACTAATTTGCCAGTGGGACCAATTTAGAGGATATACCAGAGAACAGTAGATTTATTGTGAGAGAAGATGGGTTTCATTTGAGAGAAATGACGGGACAGTAGAAGCTCTGTCACATAGATAAAAAGAGAAATGGGGTATCACGCTGACTGACATGTTTCCTCTGATGTTTTCAGTTGTGCTAATGTGGAAATTGGAATGCAATCAAGTATTTTGCAAATGGAAATACAGTACAATAGATAATACCCACATGAGCATTGTAAGTGTTATCACAGGAACCCTTTCTGAAAAGTGATGCAAAGTGCAGTACCTAAATTTGCTTGATGTTTTCATTTTCCGAGTGTCAATATCTTTGAAAAATGATTTGATTTTGCCCTCTGATATTAGTGCTGCTCTGTGGCACGGCTGGGAAGCGGTGATTTATTTTTCTCGGCATCCCTAAGCCTTGTTGAAAGCGAGGAGCCCAGTGGGGAATGTTATGCGCGGCAGTTTCATTAAATGCTTGCTCGGCAGTGTGCCGAAACAACAGTTACAAATGTTCTGCAACAAGAGCAGAACACACGTTAAATAAAGGTTGTTAAGTGTTAAAAAAATGAAATGCTGCGAGGAGCTTCAATGAGAGAATTAGACCTGAATGAGCCCACAGGAGCAAGAGCAATTAAAATGTAGACAAATCTTGCTGTCCAGGTTGTGTGTTTTTTTTCATCGTAAAAATAACCAGCATTGCAGAGGAAATATGATCAAGTTTTTTCTCCTAACATCAGAGTCAATGCTGCCATCTGGTATTTTGATTACTGGGATCATAAGGACGCGAAGGGCGTTTAAAGCGAGACAACTGTTCATCTGGAGGAGCTGCCTACTTTGGCACTGCCTAAGTACGTGGTGGTCAACCTGTGGCCCGCGGGCCGGAAGAAGCCCCCGGGGGCTATCAAGACGCGCCACCCCCCCAACCCGAACATTGGCACAAATCCAGGTAAGTCTGTGTTCGGTTGGTGTAATGTGTTTTCAGTTTTTTCTTGATTGAATATTGATTTATGGCGTAAATCAAAAAATAATCAATTAAGAAAATTTATTTTGTTTTGGCCGAACTTAAAAGCCTAAATCTTAGGATTGGAGAGAGAACACCAATTTTGAGTAAACTCGACGAAACATGTGCGTGCGTACCTTAAATCTTTCCCATCCATAAATGGCTTTCAATGCACAACTTTAACTGGCAGATGAAACAACAACTTACATTTATATAGCGGCTCTCATGGAGGGTAGTGCCTCAGAGCGCTTAGATCTTGGAAATTCTCTCTTTAAAGAAAAAGAGCCCCGGAAAAAAAGACATTTATCTAAAAAAAATTAAGGATGGTTAAGCATTTCAGCTTGGATCATTAAAAAAAAAACTATTTTGCACTTGGGGAAAAAAGCATTGGCATGTGATAGCTTGACTGGAGGATGGCTTTGATGTTTATAATGAACCTTTGTGCCTGAGGAGCCTCAATATTGGGACTTGTTAAAGGAAATCGAAGCAGTTCGTTTGCAGGGCTAATGATCTGTTCATTCACCAGTGAAGGGACCAGGAAAGCAGTCACAATGGATAGAGTTCAGGTACAGTGTTTCTCTAAAGAGGCGAAATGCAATTTGCAGTCGGTGGTTCCAGTTAAATTATTTTTTAAAAAATGAATGACAGATGTAAACTCCTGCCAGGTTATTTAACATCAGACAGTCTAGCACAGTTCCCCTTGGCTAGTTTGATACATATTTGAAGAGNTTTTTTTAATATACAGTTGAACTGCTTGAGAAACAATTAAAATGATTTCTGTGGAAGTAGGATGATGTTCAAGGCTTGGAGGCGTTTCACACACTGATCATTGACGGAGAAATGTTAATTTTTTTTAAAAAAGGGCAGGTTGGGCACGAGTTCCACATTTCAGAGTGGTTGGTTTTGCTGAGAATCTTTGTGAAGCCCTGGATAAGTGGGAGATGAAGAGGAAAAGAGATAGGAAAAGCAGCAGATCTCATACGAAAGCTCAATGAACAAATGGGGTGGGGGGGTGCATGAGAAGATGAGGTGAAGTAAGATGGGCTTCAACAATAATATTAGGTGCTCACACACACACACACACATTTTGTCAAATGTCACTGGAAATGTGATAAGACACTTCAACCCTGGCTCTATAGTTTTCTTTGTAGGCTATTGACGCTGAGGTCAAGTTGTACCCCATTGCCTCCTGGGTTGACATCCGTTAACTTGGTGCATCGAACAGAAACTCATCTTTTTTGCAAATCAAGATTTACGACTGAATGTAATTTATTATTATAACTTAAACATGAATGCTTTTCAGTGGCCAATTGATTGTTAATTTTTCTCTTCAACCGTGCCTTCAGCTCCCCTCTCGACTCTCTACCCCCTCCTCGCTCCCTCCCTTCCCTCCCCTCACCCTGACCATTTCCCCCCTGCTCAGGTCCCGACCCAACTGTCCAGCGCCTTGGGACATCCTCCCGACGTGAAAGGCGCTCTGTAAATGAAATCTTGTTGTTGTTGATGTTGTTAATAGACAAGGTATTGTCTTGGTGTCTTGCTGTAATGCCATTTTGTTTTACCAATTCTCAAATTCGCTGATGTATAATTTTGCTCTGTGCTTTTGATATTAATTGTGCTGCATGTTTTTTTTGTCAGCTGGAAATGTACATGAGTCTTGGGATAGATTTGATGTTTGCTTTAATTCACTGTAATAAGATGTCTTTTCAACAAGTTTGTGTTACAGTTCCTTTTGACAAGATAATTAAACAATTTTTTAAAAAAATGGTGCTTTATTGAATCAAGATACATTACAGATCACAAGATATCTGCAACTGTCATATGCTGAATTATTGTGCACAGTAATAGGGTGTGACATGCTTTTGTGCCTGGAATCAACTGTGTAGTTCAAGAATGTGGATCAGATTTGTTATTTGTGGGGCTTGAATTGGTGACAAAATAATTCTTGGTTACAGCGTATCCCATTCTGTGCTCTAAAAAACACGGAATCTGAGCATTTGCATTCGTTATAATCAGGTAAAAATGTTCACTGAGTGGAAAAGTCAAATCAAAATTAAATGGAAATTTTAGTCAATCATGGTGTGTTAAATGCAATTATCCCCAGCTCTCTAAATATGCAGGATGAAGGTGTTGGGTACACATTTGCCTCAATTTCCATATACATGAATGAGGTAGATTTGTTGGCTCACTTTATGGTTCTGTCAATGATGTGGCAGGCTATGTGAATTACATATTAAATAGTATTGTTGTATTATAAGGGGTGACAATCACTGTTGCTGAACTGAAAAAGGTGGCAGTACGGAATCAATCACAGCAATTGCAGCAGGTGGTCTGTTGTTGTGCTGAAACCCTAAATAACAGGTAAGAGATATCCAGCCAGGACACATCAGACATTGTGTATGTGTTCCAGTGGGTCAAATAGTTGCTAGTGCTTGGTTTACAAGAGGGGAATAGTCACGTGGGTGATGTAGGAGAGGACTTCTGGTATCCATGGTAGCCTGGCCCAAGCCACTACCTTTAGGAAGGGCAGAAAATTATCAATACAAGTGAAATGTTTTCATGA